CATTATCCTCCTCGAGGCTCCTGATGCGCCTGTCCGATTGCTAGTGTCACAACGGTCATGATGATGATTATTATCAGCTTCTCAAGCCTGCGGGCCTAGCTTGTTTGCCCTCCGAATGCCTCGGGCACACACCGCTGGCCTGACTACCACCACCACCTCCACTACCAGACTGTCTTCTCGAGGGGTACGGGTCTGAAAATGTTGTGGGCCGGACCTGTTACCGAGGCCTTGTCGACTGGCCGGTCGGTTCCGGCTCGCGGCTTGCCAACAGTGCGCAGTCCCCCTAAGGCGAGTGGTGCAAGTGGTACTGCGCTGGCACCATTCGCTCCTACCCTCTGACAGGTTCGGCTGCCTCTTGACCGCTCGCTGCCTTCGAGACCGGTTCTGCCAGACGCGCTGGCCCGAGACGGCCGGACAAGGCGGTCTGGTGGTGCTTGGTTCCGTCTGGCTTATTGGGTTTTGGTCTTTGTCTCTGTATCTATCCAGCGACGTCACCAAGCGGGTGGAGGGTTGATGAGGCGAGAAAATCTGCTACAGAACAGGAGCGTCAACCTGTGATGTGTGTTGGTAGGGCTAGCAACAAGGGACGAGGCCTGGTTGGATTGGGCTGCGATTGGAGCTGCGTGTCTCGCGTTTCTTGTTGGTCTAGGATAGAGACTGACGAAATGGCAGACAGGGGCCAGCTTAGTGATTGCCCGACTCGCGGTAACGGTTTGCTTTGAGTCATTTAATCAGTGCGATCTGAGGCGCATCCGTCACGAGGTGTGGTTGGTGGTAATCGCAGCAATCGAATGCTCTCCGGTCGAGAGATTCGGCCCGTGAAGTTAATGGGTTCCGCCTGGAACCTCTGCGCTCCTCGGCATCGCACGGGCACCAGACCGTCTTTGAAACCGCTTTGGGAAGCGCCGCTTGTGAGCTCTAAGTTGACTTCACGATCCACGCACACAGACACAGACATACGTGGGTACACATCGATGAGATGAATAAAGACTGGATCTCGAAGAATTCCCATCCATTTCGAAGGAAAAGTTGTTTGTAGGTAATTCGTGAAGTGGTCCTACAGCAAACCGAAGGAGGATTGCAGCCAAGTGAAAACTGTTGAAGGTATGAAGACCAAGATGGTGTGGCCTTTTGTGTGGTCGCAGTCCCCTTTTGTTGTATAGAAGTTGTTTGATCTTGTTTTCGCAACATGGTCATGTTGGTAGGAAGACTTAGAGGAACGCATCTAGTCCGGAGTCCATTGTCTGCATGATCGTTTCCAAAGTTGAACCGTAGATGTGGTACATTCCCAAACGTTTCGCCGGCATCGTCAGTGAGTCTCGCCATTCTTAGCACCACACAACAATTCGTCAGCGCCGATGATTTATTCGCACAAATCTACAACCACAGCTCCAATGCAGCCCCCCACAGACTCGGGTGGAACCAACTTACAAATCCATTACAGTCGCCTCTTCAAACGAAATGAAAGGTACTCCGACATGAATCTATTAAGGAATTCTTTGAAACCAAGTTTTTCTACAGGCAAATACTGTCTGAATCTCTTAGTTCAGAGAACTTATCCAAGCTCCAAACAATGGCAGATAAATTATATGATAAAGTCTTTAAACATCTCGGATACATAAATGGCAGAAAAGTTAAGAATTTTGATATAAATCTTAAATCAAAGAAATATAAGAAGTTATCTTATCGGTATTCACTCTATTTCGTTAAAGGTGAATTAGGTCTGGTGGTTGTATTTTACCAGAATGTTATGTTTCTATCGAATTTCATCTAGCCTTGCTCGCCAAAGCTCATCCCGGCTGGACCGGACTGCATTTTAACCTCTCCTAGGTCTCTTCAGCACCCCCAGCAGGACTCACACCCCGGTAGTGTGGCGTATAATCCTACTCTCATCACCTCAAACGAAATAGGTTGCAACTCTAATTTCTTTAAAACCCATTTATAATCAACAAATAAAAAAGGAAAAAGGGACTTTGCGGAATGTACCTAGTCCTGCGTCCTATGGTTCTAGCGTCTTTCCATTGACTTGGGACGCAGGAAGCTCCATAAAGTCTTCCTGTTGCTCCGACCCAGTTGCGAAAACGAGGTCAAACCAACACTATACAGCTAAAGGAAAGTGTGACCAAACAGGAAGCCACACCATCCTGGTATTCATATCTACGCAAAATAAGAAGTTATAATCGAAAGAAGTTGAAGGAAAAGATGGCTTCTCAGATGTAGTAGATCTTTCAAAAACATCTATAGCTGTTTTCATTGTGGTTATATCCAAACGCTCGAACTTTGCTTTGCCAAGTAGTAAGAACTTCAAGGAGAAAATTTAGGTTCCTAGTGAAGACTAAGAATCATTTTGAGCTAAATATCGTCCCTTTAATTGATAGCCATGTTGAAATACTTTGCAAGAATAGCATTATTAATAGCATCATAAGGAAATCTTGGGAAAATAATCAAATGGTTATGGGAGCAGATAATGGTGAAACAGCGGTAGCATTGGCGTACAAAATATGTGGAGACGAGAGTTCATGCTCTAGGTGGCTATGAAACATACAGATATCTAATTAAGGATCTAAAAGAAGATCTGAAGGCAGAAAACTGTAGGAATGGAAACTTCTTCAGAAAGCCACTAAATCACTGGTTCGCCTGAGATTTATGAAGAAGGTACTCCACTTGGGATTGTCGCAAATAATAAATATTAAATTACGAGTAATACGTGTTTTATTTGTGCTCAATTAAACGTGACATGTGAAATTTGGAAGTTTTCTATAGGGAATTCCTACGACTTTGTTAAGTTAGTACATTAACAGTTGATAGAGAGTGGGGATTTGCTTGTTGGTTTCGATGCAAACGGTGTCTCGCAAGTTTTAGGGTTACTATTATATCAGAGTCTGGCAATCTTAACAGGTAAACATTTAAATAAAGTC